TGGGTTCAAGCCCTGCGCCGGGCTCTGTGCTGACAGCTCAAAGCCTGGAGCCTGCTTCGGATTCTGTGTCTCCCTCTTTCTCTGCCCCTCCTCTGCTTGTAACCTGTCTCTCAAAAATAAAAAATGTTTTTAAAAATTCAGAAACTAAGAATGGAGATGCACCTCCCCCCCCAATGCAAGAGGTAAGGAGTGTTGATTGAACTCAGGAAAGAAATAGAAGGAAAAAGTCCCAGTTATTTTAGAAACGAAGGCTAAATTACAAGGTGCCTAAGGGGCAGTAAATTCAAATAAAAATGTAATAAGGGGCATTTAAATAAGGGGAGAAGAACAAACCTAGAGAATGAAAATAAGCTAAAGAAGTAAAAATAGAGGAAATGATTGAAATGAAAGACAAGCAGAAGAGATCCAACATAAGGCTACTTGGAGACTGAAGAAAAATCAATCAAAACAACTCACCAAAACTAATACGTAAAATTAGAATCCAAGAAAATGCTCTGGCAATAAAAGAAACCTTGAATCTACATATTGAAATGTACTATCAGATACCAGAGAAAATTGACACAGAACAGCCCAAGAAGTATCTTACTTTAAACTATTACATTTTAAAGATGTTTAAAAAATATCTTCAGGGCCTCCAGGAAAAACAGTGACTTTCAAAAACATGGAAATTAGGACAGACTTTATATGAATAACACACAAAGCAAGGCAACAGTACATTTTCTTTTTTTTTTTTCTTTTAAAAAAAAATTTTTTTTTGAGAGAGTGTGTGAATAGGAGAGAGGCAGAAAGGGAGACACACAATCTGTAGCAGGCTCCAGGCTCTGAGCTTTCAGCACAGAGCCCAGCGTGGGTTCGGACTCATGGACCGCGAGATCATGACCTGAGCCGAAGTTGCAAACTTAACCAACTGAGCCATCCAAGCGCCCCCCCTAATTTTTTTTTTGAGTTAAGCCCATTCATATTTACTTATTATTATACATAATCATTATATGTATTAGGTTTTGTTTGTTTTTCTTAACATGATGTATTTTCTTTGCTATTTTACTAATTGCTTTAGTTAGAAAAAGTTGTTTCATTGGTTATCTTTGTACTTACAACTTTATTTTTTTTCATGTTTTTATTTTTGAGAGAGACAGAGCAAGTATGGGGGTGGGGCACAGAGAGAGGGGACAGAGGATCCGGAGCAGGCTCTTTGTTGACAGCAGAGAGCCCAATGCAGGGCTTTAACTCCTGTACCTTGAGATCATGACCTGAACTGAAGTTGGGCACTCAACCGACCCGACTGAGCCACCCGGGTGTCTTTGTATTTACAACTTTAAATAAATAATAGCAAACATTCATTGAGCTTTTATAATGTATAAAAGGTACTATGCTAAATGCCTTAATTGGATTAAGTAATTCAGCAAGTGGTAAAGCCAGAATTTGATTATAGGGGGCCTGACTCCAGAGCTCATGCTATTTTTTTTTTTTCAGAACTTTATTGTGGCATAATTGACACATTGTAAACTGCACATATTTTAAGTGTATAATTTTTCCCACTCCTCCCTACCCCCCTTCTTCCCAGTCTCTAACCACCGATCATTGGGTTGGTTTTGTGTATCTTCTTTTAAAATGTTTGTGAGGTTATTTTTTAATCTTTGGTTTTCAGAGATTATGTCTTAACATGATCTTCTTTTAATTTATCCTATTTAGAGTGAATTTCTTGAATTCTGTACATTTATTTTATTTTTTTAATTTAAATTTTATTTAGTTAACATACAGTGCAAAAGCTTTCGGGAGTAGAATTCAGTGGTTCATCACTTGTATTTAACAACTAGTGCCCTCCTTAATACCCATCCCCCATCTAGCCCATCTCCCACTCACTTCCCTCCAACAACCCTCAGTTTTTTCCCTATCATTAAGAGTCTCTTGTGGTTCCCCTCTTTTCTCTTTTTCTACCCTTCCCGTATGTTCATCTGTTTTGTTTCCATATATGAGTGAAATCATATAGTATTTCTTTCTCTGATTGACTTATTTCACTTAATACATTCTAGCTCCATCCACATTGTTATAAATGGCAAGATTTTATTCTTTTTGATGGCTGAGTAATATTCCATTGTATGTAAATACCACATCTTCTTTATTCATCAGTTGAGGGGCATTTGGACTCCCTCCATAGTTTGGCTATTGTTGATAATGCTGCTGTCAACATTGGGGTGCATGTACCCTTTTGAATCTGTATTTATGTATCCTTTGGGTAGATACCTAATAGTGCAATTGCTGGATGGTAGGGTAGTTCTATTTTTAGTTTTTTGAGGAACCTCTACATTGTTCTCCAGAGTGACTGCACCAGTTTGCATTCCAACCGACAGTGCAAGAGGGCTCCCCTTTCTCTGTCCACATCCTTGTCAGTACCTGTTGTTTCTTGTGTTGTTAATTTTAGCCATTTGGGCAGTGGTGAGGTGGTGTCTCATTGTGGTTTTGATTCGTATTTCTCTGACGACGAGTGATGTTGAGCATCTTTTCATATGTCTGTTAGCCATCTGGATGTCTTCTTTGGAAAAGTGTCTATTCGTGACTTTTGCCCATTTCTTAACTCAGTTGTTTGTTTTTGGGATTTGATAAGTTCTCTATAGATTTTGGATACTAACCATTTATCGGATGTATTGTTTGTAAATATCTTCTCCCATTCTTTAGGCTGCCTTTTAATTTTGTTGATTGTTTACTTCACTGTGCAGAAGCTTTTGATGAAGTCGTAATAGTTCATGTTTGTTTTTCTTTCCCTTGCCTTTAGTGACATGTCTAGTAAGAAGTTGCCCTGGCTGAGGTCAGAGAGGTTTCTGCCTGTGTTCTCTAAGATTTTGATGGTTTCCTATCTGACATTTTGGTCTTTCATCCATTTTGAATTTATTTTTGGGTATGGTGTAAGAAAGTGGTCCTGTTTCATTTTTCTACATGTCGCTGTCCAGTTTTCTCAACACCATTTGTTGAAGAGACTCTTTTTTTCCTTTGGGTATTCTTTCCTGCTTTGTCAAAGAGTAGTTGGCCATATAGCTGGGTTTTCTGTAAATTTATATCTTCAGATGAATTTTGGAAGTTTTGGCATTTGTCAAATATTTTTTCTGCCCCAATCTTTTTGTCTTCTCCTCCTGTGAGTCCCAGTCCACATACATTAGGTCATTTAAAACTGTTTCACAGGTTCCTGAGGTTCTGTTCATTTTTGTTCTTCAGTCTTCTTTCCTTGTGCTCCTTAGATTGGATAATTTCCCGTTGAGCTATTTTTAGGTTTACTGACTCTTTTCTCTGTCATCTCTTTTTTGCCATTGAGCTCATCCAGTGAATTTATTTTAAATATGGTATTTTTGAGTTCTGAAATTTTCATTTAGTTCTTTTTTCTATTTTTATTTCCTATTTTTTCATTCATGTCAAGTGTGTTTTTCTTTTTTCTTTTTTTTTTTTTTTTTTTTTTTTTTTTTTTTTTTTTTTTTTTTTTTTTTAGAGATAGCAAGTGAGAATGGGGGAGACTGGCAGAGGGGGGAAAGAGAGAATATCTTAAGCAGACTCCACACTCAGCTCAGAGCCCAACTTGGAACTCAGTCTTATGACCCTGGGGATCATGACCTGAGCTGAGATCAAGAGTTGGACGCCCAACCAACAGAGCCACCCAGGTGCCCCTCAAGTGTGCTTTTCTTTCCCTCAAGGAGCATAGTTATAGTTCCTTTATGGTGTTTTGTCTACTAATTCAAACTTCTGCTTCGTTTTGGAGCTGGTATCTGTCAGTTGTTTTTGTAGGCATTCAACTTTGTTGGTGCAAACTCAAAGTTCCGTCTCTTCTTCCATCAGCTCTGTGTCTCCTTTCATCAGCCCAGCAATCCACTTCTTGGTTCTTTAAGCCTTTGCTGTACTGTTGTAGGGCTTCCTCACATGTGTATAGTTGAGGAGTCAGGCCGAGACTTGTGAGTGTTCATTCTCAGAAATGGGGAGTCACCTTCTCCAGCTCTCTTCCCCTTGGGGTTTCCCCCACCTTCTCCAGTTTCCCTGGCTCCTTGGGCCAGAAAGGGGTTTCCATGGTCTTAGCCACCTGCGTTGCTCCCAAACCGGGGTCCACCTTCAATGCCAAGCCATGAAGGGGAAAATAAAACTGGAAACTCCCCTTAATGGTTTGGTTTTCCGAGTTTTGAAATGCCCCCACCCCCCAACAATCTGCCTGCTTTTGTTTACTTTTTTCTGTCCTCAAGCGGGGATGAGGGTATGTGTACCTGTGTGATGTCTGTGTTTTTGTTGGGATTTAATAGTTGCAAATGGAAGGATGGTCTGTTAGGAAATTACACCTGCCAGTTTGTGTGGGTTTATTTCTTCATGCTGATGTGCATAGGTTTTGAGGAGTGTGTTGGGAGATTGTATTACCTCTGTAGTCAGTGTTGAGTTTTTTCTCTGAATCCAGCTGAACACTTTTTCCTTTTTTTTTTTTTTCTGCTATCTTCAATTAAGGCTTGTTCTAGGAACCACATAATGGGAATTTTAAATAAATCAAAGACCTTAATATTATAGAAACATCTTGCTTATAGTTGTTCTGTTAATTTGTAATGTGGGTAGGCCAGAAAAACCTAAGAGGATAATGTGACAATAAATATTAACAAAAAGCAGTCATAGTCACTATGAATTTCAAAGGGGCTTATAATAGTTGGAGAAAAAAATAACAGTATTTCAGTATCTTCATAAGAAATTAATGTGTTTTTTAAAACTTTGTCTAGATAAAGGACACAAAGAGGTGTAATCCTGAAATAGCCATGTGATTTTGATCATATTCATTTTTATGTAGTTATCAAGATTGTCATGATATTTGAGTGTTAATTTTTTTATACGTGTGTTTAAATGCAGTTGAAGAAGACACTTTTAGTTCTGCCTTTTTTTTTTTTAATCTCTGGACTGTTTATTAATGACCCATAATCTAATGTGCAGATGGTGACTTTCAGACTTGATTACTTCATAATGTTTAACTTACATTTTTTCCCATTTAGATGGTCTTCTGATTGTTGGTGTTCACTCGGCTAAGTTCCCAAATGAAAAAGTCCTGGATAACATTAAGAGCGCCGTTCTTCGATACAACATCACCCACCCTGTGGTTAATGATGCAGATGCCAGCCTTTGGCAAGAACTAGAAGTCTCCTGCTGGCCAACTTTGGTCATACTTGGACCTCGTGGAAATATGTTATTTTCTTTAATTGGAGAGGGACACAAAGATAAATTATTTTTATATACTTCAATAGCTTTAAAGTATTATAAAGACAGGGGACAGATCAGAAATCATAAAATTGAAATAAAACTCTATAAAGATTCTTTGCCACCTTCACCATTGCTGTTTCCTGGCAAAGTAACGGTAGACCATGTTTCTAATAGATTGGTAATAGCAGACACTGGACATCATAGAATTTTGGTCGTCCTGAAGAATGGGCAAATTCAGTACAGCATTGGAGGTAAAGTTTGCTTCTAATTATGATATGTAATATATTTTATAGTAAAAAAAAAAAAAACAGCTCAAGGAAATGTATTGAAATATATCTCCCTGGTTTTAGATCTAAAATGGGCTCAGTACATCTACATAGTTAATAAAATCTGTTAAGTACATTCTTATTGATCGTATTTATCCAACGTTTATTTATTTTTGGGACAGAGAGAGACAGAGCATGAACGGGGGAGGGGCAGATAGAGAGGGAGACACAGAATCGGAAACAGGCTCCAGGCTCTGAGCCATCAGCCCAGAGCCCGACGCGGGGCTCGAACTCACGGACCGCGAGATCGTGACCTGGCTGAAGTCGGACGCTTAACCGACTGCGCCACCCAGGCGCCCCAGATCGTATTTATCCAGACTAAACTGACATCTAGTAATGTAATAGTCAAAGAGAAAAATAATTCATCTCTTTGCAATTCTGCTTTAGTAGCATATACAGCATTAGTCCATAAAGTAGGGGTTCCTGCATTCCTAATGCAAATAAACTAGTCTTACTCTAAGCCCTGGTGCTATTCTTAGTATGCTTAGATATTGTTCCCTTAGCTCCTTAAGTTTTCACATTTCTTCATTTTCATTTTTGTTAGAGTTCTTTATTTTGTGTTTCTTTTGTTTGGGCAGCTTGATGTTTGGGTTTAAGACAGGCACTTATGAGAACTGTTGCTCAAAAATTATTAGTTATAGTAGGTGTAATTTAAATGGTTAAAAGGTTTTTAATTCTATAATAATTTTCAAAATAGTGTAAATGAATATTCTGCTTTGTTAAATGGAGAAACCAGCAGCAAGCTACCGTTCCCAAACATGTTTTTAGGAATAATGTTACCTTGTGATAAATTAATAATTATTCTACAATAGTTCTTCAAAAGAATTCTGTGGCCAGATACACTTAGGAAATACTGGTTAGTTGTGGTTTAACAGATTTTTTTTTAACTTTATTTATTTTGACAGAAAAATATTTATTTATTTATTTTGGGAGGGGGGGGTTGGGGGGGGGAGAGAGAGAGGAAGAGAGAAAGAGAGAAAGAGAATAAGAGAATGAGAATTCCAAGCAGACTCTGTGCTGTCAGTGCAGAGCCTGATGCAGGGCTTGAACTCACAAACCACAAGATCATGATCTCAGCCAAAGTCAGAGGCTCAACTGACTGAGCCACCCAGGCACCCCTAAACTTCTTATTTTTTTTAAATGTTTATTTTAGAAAGAGGGCATGTGTGAGCAGGTAAGGGTTAGAGAGAGAGGGAGACGAGGATCCAAAGAGACTCTGAGCTATAAGCTCCAAGCCCTACATGGAGCTCAAACCCACAAACCGTGAGATCATGACCTGGGCCAAAATTGGACACTTAACCGACTGAGCCACCCAGGCGCCTAATAGATAAATAAACTTAAAAAAATAATAAAAAATAGAAATATTCCCTTCTGATATATGCTACTAATGTGCACTAGTGACCATTGTTCAGTAAGCCCTGTCATTAGCAAAACTTACTCCTAAGAAAAATAGATCTTGGGAAACACTAGACTTTAGGTAAAAGTATCATGCTATTTATATTAAAATCCCAGCTCTAAACACTGTTTTTCTTCCTTCATTGAGGTTTGATTTACATATGTTATGAAAAATGATTACCACGAGGGGTGCCTGGGTGGCTCAGTCGGTAAGCCTCTGACTTGAGCTCGGGGCATGATCTCACGGTTCGTGAGTTCAAGCCCCGCATTGGGCTCTATGCTGACAGCTCAGAGCCTGGAGCCTGCTTCAGATTCTGTATCTCCCTCTCTCTCTGCTCCTCCCCCACTCACACTCTGTCTCTCTCTCAAAAATAAATAAACATAAAAAAATTTTTTTTAAATGATTACCACAATAGGTCTAGTTTATATCCATCTTCCTAATATAGGTACAAGAAAAAGAAAGGAAACAAAGAAAAACAAATGGGGGTGGGGGGTTAATTTGAGATAACTTTTTAAGAGGAAAAAATTTGTCCTGTGGCTATCTTGTCTTTTAGGACCCAACCCTGGAAGAAAAGATGGAGTATTTTCAGAGTCAACTTTTAATTCACCACAGGGGGTAGCCATAAGGAATAATATCATATATGTGGCAGATACTGAAAACCACCTTATAAGAAAGGTAAGTTTCCATTTTAAATACAGTTTTAATACTTCTAATTAGAAAAACTGGTACTTACTTGCTACATTAAATATTTGAAATTAGAGGATAATGCTTAAACACCTCAAGTCCTCTTTATGCAGCTTTTTCAGAGGTACTTGCTTTAGTGTTTTTCTTGGGCGTCTTGTTTTTCTGTGTCTTAGCCTGTAGCTGTCACGGATTAACCTGCCAATCGAGTCCTTTTGTCGTTGTTGTTTATCCTTTTGTTTCAAAGTAGCTAATCACCTAAAAGCTCCTCATTTTGAAGTATTTTCCTAACCACTGTTGACAGAGCAGTGCTTTCTCCTTTTTTCAGTTAAATTTTCTCAAACCCAGAAGAAATATCATACCACTCCCACCTCCCTTTACCTTTTATGCTTTGCCCAGAAATACATGTAAGTCAATCTTAAAATTTGTTTTATTTCATTATAAAAGTTATATATGGTCTTGCTTTTTAAAAATGAATACACTTAAAAATGTATTTAAAAAATACATAAAAAGGCTCATACCATCTATTTTAGCTTCCCCATTGTTAAAATTTTTGTCTTTTCAGTGATTTTTTTCTGTCCTATACAAATAAATTTGTATTTAAAAGACTGCCTCTAGGGATGCCTGGGTGGTTCAGTCGCTTGAGTGTCCCCAACTCTTGATTTCTGTTCAGGGCATGATCCCAATGTCGTGAGATCGAGCCTCATGTTGGGCTGGCTGAGTGCTGAGCAAGGAGACTGCTTAAGATTCTCCCCCACCCCTCTCCCCGCCATCTCACTCCCTGCCCCTCCCCCACCATGCTCCTTCTCTAAAATAAAAATTAAGAAAATAAAAATAAATGACTGTCTCTAGAGAATCCTTTTTTAAACAAATGAGGCATATTGTATGTACATAATGTTCTGTGGTTTTTTTAATTATTATTTTAGAGAGCATGAGTCGGGGAGAGGGAGAGAGGCAGGGAGAGAGAGGGAATTTTAAGCAGTCTCCATGCTCAGCATGCAGCCCAACGCAGGGCTCGATCCCACAACCCTGAGATCATGACCCGAACTGAAATCAAGAGTCTGACACTCAACCGACTGAGCCACCCAGGCGCCCCTCTTCTGAAGTTTCCTTAAATTTGTTTTCCGTATTAGTCATATGAATGATATGACTGCATAGTATCCCATTGTAGAAGTGCCTAGTTATTTTAAACATTTCATATGAGTGAATATTTTGGCTATAATCCATTGGTCTTTAAGTTGCTGTCTATTTAGAAAATAAGTAACTAAGTTCATCTCACCCATCCTGTGTAAACATTGTTTCAGACACTTCCTTGCTTTTCTCAGTTTCTCCCTTTTGATATTTGTGCCCATTTGACAATATTATCACTTCATATAATAGGAAAACAACATGGATAGAACCTGTAATACCATTACAAGGTAAATTTCCATGAAAGCATGAAAGTTTTTACTGCTGAAATTTTAAGCACCTAGAACAAGGTCTGGCCCATAGTAGGTGTTCAGTAGATAGTTGTTGAATGCATTTTTGAGCAAATAACATATTTAATGAAGCATTTTCTAATGTATCTTCCTCTTAATATGAAAACATGTTATATGAGGCAAGGATTTTGTGGATTTGCAAATTAAAGCAGATTTATTCTTTGAAAGTCTTGGAGACTTCATTCTTAGAGACTTTAATATGTTAATATATTGTGAATACGTTAGTAGGGGGATATCTGTGAATTGGTTCTAAATTTATTTGACCAAGAAGCCTATTTTAGGCAGACCTTTTCGTAGGATTCATGATTTCATGGTATGTCATGATTTCCCACCTTAGGAAAAAGTGGTTTTCTGTTGTTACTAAGTCCGTAAAGGTCAGTGTTTCTTTATCATTGTCTTTTCAGGGTTGTATGTTTGTATAACTCCGTAGTGTCCCAGATAGCTAACAAGGTGTTGAAGCAGTAAGATACTTAGCTCACAGCATTCAGGGTGTACTTGTCTTTTTTAAATTCTGTTCTATCTCTTGCCTTAGAACTTAATGAGTTTGGGAGTATTCACTGCATTTCAAATATTTTTTAAGTAGCATAATCACAATAAATTTAGGTTACATAAAGTTATTTGTAAATTATGACTTAGTTTAGTGTCTGCCAAAAAAAATGAGGTGGAATTATTATTTCTTCCTTTATTTTTAGAAGTATATAAAAATATTTACTATACTTTTAAGACCTCATTTACAGAGGATTGATCATACATTCATATTTCTCAAACATCATTGTTTCATGCAGATCTGACACTTGTTTAGAATAATTCATTTAGTAATTTATAAATTCCTTTTTAGCCCAGTCTCATTCTCCTGTTATTCCCCTATATAAAAACACCTGTAGCCAGACATTCTGGTATGTTCAATTCATACCTTTCTATTTGTGTATGACCTTGTAAAACATGTAATGTTTGTGTCTGTTGTCTAACTATATTGTGTTATATTTTACATAGCACTTATTTCAGGTATACAATTGAAGAGCTTTTAGGAGATTTAACAAATTGTACAACCATAACCATAAATTGTTTTTAGAACATTTTCATCCCCCCCCCGCCCCAAGAACCCTCATGCCCAATTACAGTTCATCCCTGTTTTTACGCCCAGCTTAATCTACTTTCTATCTATAAATTGGCCTCTTTCGAACATTTCATAGAAATAGAATCATATAATATATGGTCTCTTGTGCCTGGCTTTTTAAATTGAGTAATGTTTTAAATTCATCTCTGGTGCAGCGGATCATTAGTTTCTTCCTTTGTATTGCTGAATAGCATTCCATTGTATAGCTATGTGCCACATTTTGTCTGTCCAACAGTTTATTGACATTTAGTGTGTTTCCAATATTTGGCTGTTATGAATTTATGTAAAAATTCTGTGTCGACATACATTTTCATTTCTCTTGGGTAGATATCTAAGTAACGGAATTATTGTGTTATATGTTTTATATTTCATGTTTAACTTCTTAGGAAACTGCTACATTTTTCCATAGTTGCAGTACCATTTTACATGTGGGTTCTAATTTTTCCATATCTTCACCATTATTTGTTCCACTTTTTAAATTCTAGCCTTCCTACTAGGTGTAATGTGGTCTCTCAAAACCACAACGATAATTATTTCCCTAATGAGTAAAGATGTCAAACATCTGTTCCCATCTTTATGGACTGACTGGTTTTATATCTTCCTTTGAGAAGTGTCTATTCAGATTCTTTACCAGTTTTTTTAATTGGGTGGTGTTTTTTATTATTGAGTTGTAAGAGTTCTTTATATATTCTGTTACAGATCCCTTATTGGATATGTGATTTTTCAAATACTTCTCAAATTCTCTGGGTTGTCTTTTCACTTTCTTAATCACATCTTTTGATGTACAGAGGTTTTAAATTTGAGGATTCCCAATTTTTTTTTAATTGCTTAGGCTTTTGGTGTCATATGTAAGATTACATTTCCAAATCCAAGATCATGAAGATTTATTCCTGTTTTCTTCTGAGAGTTTTATAGTTACAGCTCTTACAGTTCAGTCTTTGCTGCATTTTGAGTTTATTTTTTGTATGTGGAGTGAAGTAGAGGTCCAACTTCATTCTTCTGAATATGAATATCCAGTTATCCCAGAATCATGTATTGAAGAGACTGTTCTTTCTCCATTGAATAGTTTTGGCAACCTTGTAGAAAATAATTATTCATACATACATGGGTTTATTTCTGAACTTGCAAGTCTGTTCCATTGACCTATATATCATTTCTTGTGCCTATACCACACTGTTTTGATTGCTATAACTTCTAATAAGTTTTGAAATCAGGAAGTAGGACTTCTCCCACTTTCTTCTTTTTTCAACATTGGTGTAGCTGTTCTGAGTCCCTTGCAATTCCATATGAATTTTAGGATTAGCTCATCCATTTCTGTAAAACCTTATTTGTTTCTCATATAAATGATGATGTTGCCTGAAAAAACAGATGCACTTTTATCTTTCCCTTCTTGTTTATACATATCTTGTTTTCTTTTATTAAATTGCTGGCAAAGGGTACCTGGGTGGCTCAGCGTCCAACGTCAGCTCAGGTCACGATCTCACAGCTCGTGGGTTCGAGCCCCGTGTGCTGAGCTGTCAGCACAGAGCCTGGAGCCTGCTTCGGATTCTGTGTCTCCCTCCCTCTCTGCCCCTGTCCCACTCATGCTCTTTCTCTTTCTCTCTCTCTCTTTCTCTCAAAAATAAGTAAACATTTAAAAAAAATTTTAATTGCTGGTAAGAACCTCAGTTTCCTTTAAACATTAGCAGTGATAGTGGGTCTCTTGTCATGCTCATACCTTAAAGGGAGGACATTTTCTCCAGAAATTTAATATTTTCTATAACTTTGGGAAATAAAATTGTTAATGAAGTTAAACTTTCTATTCCTAGTTACTAAGAATTATTTTATTATATGATTTTATCGAATGCATTTTCTACATTTATTGAAATAATTATATAGTTTTTGCCCTTAGTGTCTTGATGTGATGAATTAAGAGATTTTTGACATTTGATCATCTTTTTATTTGTGGAATAAATCTTACCTAATCACGAATTTTTTTTAAAAAAGTCAATTTGGATTTGATTATCCCAAGTTAAATTTTAATATTTTAAAATTCATGTTCATAAGTTAAACGGCTCTGTTTTCTTACACTGTTCTCACCTGATTTTAGAACCAGAGTCACACTAACTTCATCAAATGAGCCAATTAGCTTTTACTCTTTTTCTATTTTTTGGAATCATTTGTCTAACATAGGAATTAACAGTTTTTGAATATTCATTAAAACGCCTCTGTAACAAGATTTTTATAAGAGGAATTCTTTGAATATCACATCAGTTTTTGATACATTTCTTAAATCAAGATGTATTTCGAGGGCCTATCCCTAACTGCCTATTGTATTTTTGCAGATTGGGTTCAGTAAAAATATGGATAAGGTTACAGTGGTGAATATTCCTTACAATTTCAAGAGATTATAGAACAGCCACTAAAAATATGAGAGGCTACCACTTAATTAAATCAGTGTAATTTGCTATAATAACAGAATAAAAGATATTAACCATACTGTTGTTTTGCTAGGTTAGGTGTTAAATGTTTTAATGTTTTTCTATTGATGATAAAATTGCAATAAACTTGAAATGGAAATGAATGTCCTTAATATGATCAAGGGCATCTACAAAAAGCTTATAGCTATACTCCATGCAAAATATAGAAGGCTTTCCTTCCAAGATTGGGAATGAGGCAAGGATCCCCATTCTCACTACACCTGTTAAAAATTATACTGGAAGTACTAGTCACTGTAATAAAGCAAGAAGGAGAAAAAGCATACTGGCCAAAAAGGAAGAACAACAACTGACTTTATTTGCCAATGATGTGATAGAAAATTTAAGAAATCTCTGAAAATACTACTCGGACAAATAGAAATTAGGAATGCTGTGGAATACAATCTCAGTATAAAAAGATCAATATTTTTGTATTCTAGTAATCAATTGGATTGGAATTTTTTAATTCTATTTATAGTACTAAACAAAAAACAAAATACATAGAATAAATTTAACAAAAACATATGAGACCTCGATATTTTAAATTATAACATTGCTGAGAAAAATTAATCCAATATTGGATTAGAAGGCTCAATAGTAAGATGTCCATTCTCTCCAAATTGATCTGTGAGTTCAGTGTAATCTCAATCAAAACTCATCAGGTGCTTCTATTTGTTTATTTAAGATATTGACAAGTGGATTCCAATACTTATATGGAGGTGCAAAACAAAGTATTGTATCTAAAACAGTCTTGGATAAACAAAGTTAAAAGATACACTTCTCTGATTTAAAGACTTACTGGAATGCTACACTAATCAGGACAGTGTGATACTTCTAAAAGGATAGATGTGTGGATCAGTAAAAAAGAATGGAGCTTTTGGAAGCTCATACATACACAGTTATTTGATTTTTCAAAAAGCATCAAAGCAGTCAAGGGAGAAAGGAAAGTCATTTCAGCATATTATACTTGAACAACTAGGTACTCATATGGGGGAAAAGAGAAACATGACCCCTACCTTACACATCATACACAAGCATCAGTTCAGGATGCACCCCAGACATAAATGTAAATGGTAAAATTATAAAGCTTTTAGAAGAAAACATGAAAATGTCTTCATGACTTGCAGGTAGGCAAAAGTTTCTCAAATACAGGACACAGAAACAATAATCAAAAAAAATGATAAATTTAAAACTTCTCATTACAATTTACATTAGAGGAGATAAGAATGGCCACAAACACATAAAGTGATCAACATCATGGGTTAAAAAGGAAATGTAAACTGAAACCACAATGCAATGCTATAATGGCTAAAATTAAAAAAGACTGACAACAGGCAAGGATGTGGAGCATTTGGAACTTTCATATGTTGTTGGTGGGAATACAAAGGAATAGACCACTGGAAAAAAATCCTTCTGGAAGTTTTTTGTTTGTTTTTTATACTTATCCTGTACCTGCCCTATAACAGCAATTTTAGTCCTGTGTATGTACATAAGAGAAGTGAAAACACAAGTTCACCAAAAGGCTCATATGAGAATATTGAGAGCAACTCTATTTGAAGGCCCCAAACTAGAAAAAACCCAGGTGTCCATCAGTAGGAAAATAAATAAATGAACTGTGGTATATTCCTATGATGGAATACTGTTCAGCGATAAAAAGGGACAAACTACTTATATATGAATAAATCTCAGAAACCTGTGAAGTGAAAGAAGCCTCACACAATAGAGTCCATATAGTTTGATTCTGTTTAGCTGAGATCTTAGAAGAGATACAACTCATCTATGATGAAAAAAACAATACTGTTTGTCTCTGGGGGCAGGATTAACTGGATGGAGGCATAAGGGGACTTGTTGGAGTGAAGAGAACATTCTGCATCTTTATGTAAATTAAGGTACACAGTTTTACGCATTTATGAGAAGTCATTGAATGACACATTTGAGATCTTTGCATCTCATTGTAAGTTTTGCCTCAAAAAAGAAAAGGGAACTGAAAAAATATGGACCTCTTACCAATGATAAACAAGCCGGGATATTTAGAGCCTGTGTATTGTTGTTTACAGTTTACTTTGAAATGTGTCAAAAAGTATAAATGGGATGAAGGATTGATAGCTCCATAAACTATGTGATAAAGCAAGTAAGTGACATGTTGATAGTAGGTGGTGGGTGTACAGATGTTTGCAATAAAATTCTTTCAACTTTTATGTTTGTTTGACAATTTTCGTGGTGAGATGTTGGGGGAAGGATCTCAGGAGATGAAACCAAAGGGTTTTTGTTGTTTGTTTTTTTTTTTTTCAGAAATCATTAGTTTTTCAGTTTATAAAGTAGAGGCAGTATAGTAGAGCTAGAACTGCCTGGGTTCAAATCCGAGATCCTCCATTTACTAGCTGTGTGATCTTGGGAAACCTGCTTTATGATCTATGCCTCAGTATCCTCAATATTAATCAAAATCACAAATCATAGGATTATTATGAGGATGGACAAATGGATGACTCTTGGACTAGTGCCTGGCACATGTTAAGCTCTATTTTTGTCAATTACTAGCCAAGCATAACTGAAATACATATATTTAACTTTAAGAAACATGCATTTTTTAGGGCTCCTGGGTGGCTTAGTCATTTTAGTGTCCAACTCTGATTTTTGGCTCAGGTCATGATCTCATGGTCACAATCATGACCTATCATGGTCATGATCTCTGTACTGGGTGTGGAGCCTACTTGGGATTCATATTCTCTCTCTCTCTCTCTCTCTCTCTGTCTCTCTCTCTCTCTCTCTCTCTCCCCCTCTCTCCCTCCCTCCCTCCCTCTCCCTCCTTCTGCCCCTCCCCCACTTGCACACACATGTTCTCTTTCAAAAAGAAAAAGAGAGAAACATGCATTTTTCCAGATTTTGCTTTGAAATTTGGAATTACACTTTCTTCTAGCATACTTTGTAGTTAAGGTGAGATCAGTAGCAGTTAAGATGAGGTCAATACCAGGAGAGGCTATGATGAGGATGGGGAGGGGAAAGGGGGGTGGGGAATGAAAAGGACAGAGTTTTGTACATTTGAATAACAAGCTCACCCTATACTGTACTTGATTAGCCTTTTTTTTTTTTTTAAAAGACTTTGTGTTGCAAAACCTTTCTGTATGTTCTACTGGAAGTCCTCATGTACCAAAAGGAAAACAAAACAAAAGTAACATGCACTGCATAAAACATGTGTCAATTTCTGTAGATTGACCTAGAAGCTGAGATGGTGAGCACTGTAGCTGGCATTGGGATTCAAGGTACAGACAAAGAAGGTGGAGCTAAAGGAGAAGAACAGCCCATTAGTTCCCCCTGGGATGTGGTTTTTGGGACATCAGGTATGTAAACTTTTAATATTAAATCTAAGTAAACTTTGCTTAATAAATGTAACATTTTTAAGATATTCTGGGGTCATTCATTGGGATTAATTCTAATTGCTAGTTATTTTAGACTTTTATTACCTGTGGTGGTGTTTGTTAATTTAAAAATAAGGCCAGCAGTATATATTGTTATATATAACATCACATGCTTACATGTTGTATTTTATACATACGAGAGATGATATATTACTCTAATGTTAACAAATTTCAGCTTAGCTGCAGTTTCCAGTTAATACAGTTCTGAATATTCTTAAATTTGAAAGATTGTACTTTCAGAACTTCAAATGATTATTCATGAACTATGCTGTTTAACAATGCCCTTTTTATTTACTCTTCATTCGGAAAGAAATCAAGAAGTGATAGCTGCTTTTTTTAGAGTATTAAAATTTGTATTGAAACGTGATAGCTCCTTTTGGGCGATGAAAAAAATTACTGAATTATGTTGGTATTGAATGAATGAGATTTATATTATCTTTCTAATTTTATTACCTGTATTAATTGACTAAAAAGTAATCTAGAAGCATTCATACCCTGATTTTTCATTGACCCTCAGTGATACTGAGATAGTTACCTACACATCTAAAACCAGAGTAATGAATAAAGAAAGTTAGTAGAGTCCATTGAAGATGGTATTAGGAACTAAATGGTTTGTATGATCCGAATATATTTATAGAGTGAATAAGCACCAGTTTAGTTTAATGGCTTTACATTTGAGGTAATTTCCTATTATGTTAATTTGTTTATAATTCAAAGACCTTAATTTTTTCCATTGTGATTAACTTTATAAAGCTTTTGCTATTCACAAAATAGTTGAATGAACTGGTACTGCTGCACTTAATAATTACTTAGGTATTTCGTGTAAGTTACTTTTGAGAATTTTATTTTTGGAACCCTGTGCCCCAGTAATCATGAGGGTTTTAGAGGCTCAAAGGGAGAAGGAAGGGGTTGGGAAGGGAGAGGGAAGAGTGTGTCCCAGGTGCAATCAATGAGGGGTCATATTATATGCAGAGAATTTTAAAACCGTAGTGAAACCAGCCACAGTCTTCTTTGTGTCACCACGCACCCCCAGTTCTAAATAATTTCAAGGTTAAAAATATTCATCCCTAACAGGACTCCTCTGTTGCTCCTGCCTCTTTGCCTTGGATACACTACTGAGCTCTTTGAACATAAGTCTTAGAAAACCGGTCGGGAAACATCTCTCTCAGTAAACTAGTCAAAGTGGGTGAGAATTGCTACTTTGGTGTGCTGTCACCTCCCTCACGGCAAAAAAAGAAATTTTCTCCCCTTAGTGTGTAAGTCCCGAGTGATTTAAAGCTGTAGTCTGTATAGCAGTTCAGTTACTGATGTTGCTATTTTGCAACTTACAACTTGTATTTACTGTGTCTGTTAGTAATTGCCACAGTAACACTTCATAAGAAATCATCCCCAAACTCCTACAAACCTAAACCTTTATTTCTCACTCACATATAGGTTTGGGGTTCAGCCCATCGAGGCTCAGCCTGGGCTTGGTTCCAGGCTGTTTCTTGGGTGTAGATCTGCTCCATTTGTTTCTCGTCCTCCTTGGGCCAGTAGCTGTCTGAGGCATATTCTTTTGGCAAAAGGCAGAAGCACAAGAGTGTAAGCCCAGTACATACATTTTAAGCCCTTGCTCATGTCATATCTGCCTACCTACTGTTATTAAGCAAATCACATAACTGAGCTCAAAGTCATGGGATGGGAATTGCATTTTGCCTACAGCGAGGCCATGGTAAGGGTGTGGATGAACCAAGACGAGTAATTCAGTCTGTCACATAAATTAGAACTTACATTGCTTAAAAACAGGATATACTTTACCAGATACTATATTTAAGTAGCCAAGGAGTACTTAAATCTAGGCTAAAAGTTTTTCACACATTGTAGCATGGAATCTCTGGTTGTTTATTTCCTACTGAGAATGCATCCAAACTGCTTTCTTTTTTTTGTTTTTTTTTTTTTT